TTATTGCAGCATTATTTACCATAGCTAAGATATGGAACCAACCCAGATGCCCCTCAGTAGATGAATGGATCAAGAAAATGTGATATATATACACATTGGAATTCTATGCCTCCATCAGAAAGAATGACATTGCCCCATTTGTTAGGAAATGTAAAGACTTGGAAAAAATTATATTAAGTGAAGTAAACCAGCCTCAAAGAAACATAGGTGCAATGGTTTCCCTTATTTGCAATAACTAGTATATGTTTGAGACAAGCGGAAAAGGTCAGATAAGTTGATGTTAGGTGAAATGAACCCCAAGATAAGTATTCAAATGTTGTTTTCTTTCATGGGACTGTTTCTAACAAATTTGTAAGATGATTTCTTTGTTGCTTTGTATGTCCCTCTCCCACTGTATAACCCCTGATTTCACTGTATTTGATGTTGGTATAATTTGTGGAGGGGAAGGGCAAAACAAATCGTTTAAATAGGGATATAGGTGGACCCATTGCAACAATGAGATGTACAAGTCGTTATGTCAAAAAACACAAGTCGTTATGTCGAAAAACAAACTTTACAACTTTGGTGGGGGGAGGAGAGGGGAAGGGATGGGAGGGGGAAACAAAGGAGGAGGCAACAATGTAGTCAATATCTTGCCTATGTAACTATAACTCCTCTGTATGGTATTTTCACAATTAAAAAAAAAAGAATCCCTGAGATTTTCATGGTCCAGGCGAGCCTATCCAGAAGTGTCAAGAGCATTTCACAATTATCCATACAAACTCTGACTTCTGTAGGCACATCAACACCTACCCAGCAGTTGGCTCATGTTGTTGATCCTTTGCAGGTGTATGTAATAGCGCAGCAGAAGGACCCAAGTAATATCCACTTTTGTTTGAATCTTTTTTCTACCATCTGTACTTTCAGGAATGTCTTCATTTTCAAACAGAAGTGAAGCCTCAAAGTCAGCTTGGTAGTCATCTGAAAATTTTTAAAAATGAAAAATGAGATTATGCTTGCCTTGAAAACCAAACATGTACAACTCATAAAGACTGACACATAAGCATACGGTGAATTTTCAAAATTATCACAAGACACCAAACATAATATCAAAAAGAAAAATACTAGGCATATAAACAATATCTAAAACACGTATTTTTCTCTAAATTTTACCAGCCAATAGGAAAAATTCAAAGAATTAACGTTCAATGAGCAATTCCCAGGAATGAATATAGTTTTGACAGGTGAATTAGAAAAGTGAGTCCATTCAAGGATACACGTTAGAATCACTGAAAATCAAGGCTATGGGGGGGGGTGGAGAGAGGAATGTACAAATTAAATACAGAAAGATATTAATGTCTGAAGATAGTATCAGTCACAACACCATAAAATTGGAATATTTATATAATACATGTGAGATCAGCTGGTTAGGAAAACAATTTGGTCAGATCTATTAAAACTGAAAATTCTAATGCTCATGTATACACAGAGTATTGCTTATGGTCCTGGTAGTTTTATAACATGAAGAGAAGGAAACTTGGAAAAAAACAAACAGAAGTCTATGAATTTGATGTAATTTAGAAGGATTGAATTAGATCTAAAAGAAAAAAGAAAAGTAGTGTGGACAGGTACTGGTGCTCATACCTGTAATCCTAACTATGCAGGAGGCTGAGGTCCTGACACTTTTGGTTAGAGGCCAATCTGGGCAGAAGTCTGATAGATTCTACCTCCAAAATAACCAGTAAAAAGCTGGAATCATGGTTGAAAGGGTAGAGAGAAAGCCAGGCAAAACAAACCAAAAAAACATAAGGCTCTGAGTTCAAACTCTGGTACTAACAATTTGTAAAATATAGAATCTGAGTTTGTATCTAAAATGTGCTTCTCACTACAGTGAAAACTCAAATTTCTTTGCCTTAGGCTCTTTAGACCTTTGATTTTCTGCTTCATGATTCTGTTATTCAAAAGGGCACAATAAGAGTGATTATAGAGTGAAACTGACAACATTTAATGAGTTACCAAGCAGGAAACACGTGGAAGATGGAACACAGTGCCATTCATATAAAGCTGAGGGTACTTAGTACGGTTCTTTGTGCTATTCATGTAGACACAGAAAAGTACATATAGATAGTATTAGATAAGAACAGAATTTTCTCTGAGAGGAATGAAAGAAGAGATAAGCTGGCTTATGTCTATGTGTAATGGTCCATGCATGTTTCCTGGACGAATATGTTGACTCCCTAATGCACTTGTGAACCACTTTCTAATCCTGTTTTCTTCTCTCTGTCTCAACACATCTGTTGTACCTAACTGCTCTCCAGAATTCTGAATTAATATTCTGAAAGCTGTCCTTTACCCTTTAATATATACATTATACACCATAAATAAATAATATATCATTAATTTTATCTTTTGGAAACCTATTAGAGAAAAAATTACATGTATTTTCTCTTTCTTTTCTTTCTTTTGACTAAACATTATTTTTAAATGTATCCAGGACGGTGCATGCAGCTATAATTCACTGATTTTTCTCCATTGCTATATAGTATTTCATTAAAGGAATATTAATTGGTCAACTTATGGGCTCTTTCTAATTTTGTTTTGTTTTTATTTTTGTTGTTATGAACAGGCTTCTATCAACTTTTGAATATATATTACTGGTACAAAATGTTAAAATTACCCAGAAGTGGAATTACTAGTTTTTCCTCAGTCTTTTAACCAGTTCTTTCCTTCTGCCCTTCCATATAAATTTTAACATCAGTTTATCAAAATCCACAAAAAAAATTTGGTGAAATGGTTAATGAAACTACATTAAATTTTAGGTCATCTTTAGAAGACTTGGCATATTCCCATTACAGACCTTTCTCAACTGAAAATAAACTGTTTTCTTATATGTTTCAATCAAATTCTTAGCAATTTTTGTATTTATAACTTTTATCAGTCCCTAAATATTCTATCTTTTTGAAATGCATAGAACTAAAATCTTCCAACAAGAAATCTTGCTAAATGCTCTTATTTTCTATAGTTTAATTATCTGGTGACAAATCCTATGGCTAATGACAACAACTCAGGGCTTCTTCCTGTCACTTCAATTTTCCACTCACGTATGGTGTTGTATCACTTGAGCTTTACCTCAACCTTTTAATCTTGATCCTCAGATCTCAGCCTTCTAAAAAGCTAGGATTACAGATAGGCATGAACTATCAACACCTGTCTAGCTTTTTTTCTTTCCTACTACTGTGCTCTTGCTTGGCTTGCTTGCTCACAGCTGGACCTCTACCACCTGAGCCCTGCCACCAGCCCAGACTTTTCTGCCTGGGTAGCTCTGAACCATAGTCCTCCAGGTGGCAGCTTCCTAAGTTTAATTCCTAAGATTATAGACATGAGCCATCAGTACCCTGCAACAAGCTTTTTTAATCAAATGGCTTATCCTGAGAACTGAGCTCCTAATTCCCATTATAGAGTGTTGCAAAATCCAATGAGTCTTGGGGAAAAAAAATCATCACATTAAGTGAAATAAGCCAGACTCAAAGAAACATAGACTCCATGGTTCCCCTCATTTGTAATAATTAATATATGTATAAGATAGTCCTATCAGAGGATCACAATAGCTCAATAACTATATATCTATGCCCATATAAGATGGTAGTAAATGAAATGAACTCCAAGATATGGAAACAAGAGGTTTTTGTTGTTGTTGTTGTTGTTATTTTTAATGTACTGTGTGAATTATTTTTTTTCTTTCATTTTTTTCCCTTTGTTTTATCCTCTGTTGTCACTGTATTTGATTTTGGTACCCGTGTCTTGTATATATGTTTATCTGAATTGGGGAAGGGAAGAGAAGGGGAACAACAAAATGGTGAGACAAAGGACAAAGGACAAACGAATGCAAGACAACATGTTGGAAATGAACTTTACAACTTGATGGAGGTGGGGGAAGGAAAGTGGGAGAAAAATGAGGGAGGGGATAACAATGTTTAACAAGAAATGTACTCCATTACCTTATGTATGTAACTGTAACCCCTCTGTACATCACCTTGACAATAGGATTATTTTTTTAAAAAAGCCACGTGAGTCCACTCAAACTACAAGAATAATGTACTTCAACAGAGCCCCCAAAACTAGAATGACATGGTTTCAGAGTCTCACCAGAATTAACCTTTAAAGAACTATCACTTAACCAGGTCTGGTTTGGTTTGAAAGACTATCCATAATGATCCATAATGATCTGAACAGGCTCTTCAAATGCTTATCATTTTCTAACTACAATCTGTGTGAGGCTGGGTTTTCTTTATATCAACCAAAAAAATTGTTAGAACAGAGTGACTTTAATAGAAAATAGTATGAAAGTTCAACTATATTTTTTGGTTTTACTATTGTATTGGGCTTTGAACTTAGGGCCCTCTAGCTTGCTTGGCTGGTTTTGTTACCACTTGAACCAATGCTTCCAGACCTCACTATCTTTATTTAAATAGTAATTAAAATTTTTTCTTACATGTTATTTTTTAACTTGTTATGGATTTGTTATTGCTTTTGCTAAAGTAATAAATTTTAGTTTTCAGTTTTAATTTCTAATGACTTTATTTTTTTCTATAGTAGACCTAATATTTTTACCTTTAGTGGGGTAAATTATATTTTTTCAGACAGTTATAAATTTTTATAGAGGTTTTCAAATGTATTGGTTTGGAACAAAAATAAATCTAATAATTTATCAGTGTCAGTGATTATTTTTCTCTTGACATTTATCATTTGTGAGGGTTTTTTTAAACTACAATTATTTTTCTTGAAAAGTAAAGTTGACTAGTAATTAATACATTTTTCCCTAAAATTATAACTATTGTTTTTGCTTCCTAAGACTTCCTATTTTGCAGGCAAAATCATGATTGTACAGCTTTGTTTATAGAACAAACAAACAAAATAGCAATTCTCGGTGGATTAATCATTTCTGCATACCTACTCTAATATTTGTTCTTTAGCTTTCCCCATGGCTTTGACATTTTTCTGTTTGGGTAAATTGTGTAGATTCTTACCTATATACAAAGAACCCTGGCAGTACATCATATCTCTCATGAGGATCAAAAGAAACTGAGTGTACAAGGGAAAAGACAGTACTCTAAAGATGTTCATGTCTTAATCCTAGAGCCTCTGCAAATGGTAGGAAAAAAAAAGATCAAGTGAAGGTTGCTAGCAACTATTTTGAGATGGAGAGATTATCCTGGGTTATAATACTGTCCTTATATGTGGAAGTCACAGGCAGAAGTGTATGATGGCACAGTCAGAGATGTGAGGGAACCACACTGATGACTTGGAGTGTGAATGGCCTAACAGCCAATGGACTTTGGTGTCCTTTAAAAGCTGTAAAAAGGCAAGGAAACAGATTCTCCCCTGGAGCCTCTAAATACTGGACAAGACTATTACAAATCCTAGTTTTAAGCAGTTAGCTACATTTTGGCTTTCCCTGCTTGCAGGGCCTATTTACCTGTACTCTCCCCCAAAACACATTGAGTCTCAGCTCAACCTGTTAAGTGCTAATTCTAATCTTTCTGCCACACATATACAGACAGACAGACAGACAGACACACACACACACACACACACACACACACACACACACACACATTTATGTGTTGACAAAGCCCCCATTTTGCTTTGGTAACTTGCAGTTTCTCTTTCTTGGTTCAAGATCAGCTACAAATAGAACCAACTGTTATTCTATTTAGCATTGGAAAGGTCAGGGGCACCTTTCATATCAGCTCTGTCCAACAGGTTGACTAGAAGCATCAATTCTGCATTTTGAGTTCTTGATAATATATTCTTAGCAATACAACTTAGTGATTAATAGCATAGCCTTTACAATAGGATAGATGAGAGTCTGAATTAGCAATGGAATATTACTCAAGTTACCAAACCTCTCTGAGCAGCTAGACTCATTTATAAATATGCATGACACTCTCCTGGGACTTTCCAGAGCATGAGTGAAACCAAGTGAGAAAGCTTCTAGCACAGAGCAGGAGTAGTCTGTGCATTAACTAGCACATCTTGCATCCTGACTTTTCTGCTGTTGTCAATCTTTTATGTCTTGCATCTGCCTAAGGGTACCAAACAATCCTATTAAGTCTCCTTTATTCCTTGAAAGGCTCATCTTCCTCTCAATCTCAGGATACCATTCCACTGTATTCATATGGGATCCACTGTGCTCATATGGGAATGTTTTCTCACATATAGCATCTGTTGTTTCTATTGTCCACTGCTCACTGTCTAGAATGAAGGTCTCTTCATTTATCCTGATAACCAAGTGTGCTCTGCTCCTGGCCATGGTACTGTCCATTCTTAGAACTCAGTGATCATGTAGAGGCCGCTGAGTAGAATTTCTGGACTAATGCAGATTTTGAGTAGAAGTTTGGACTACTTCATTGAGATTGGTTCTCATAATATCTCCAAGTTCTTATGTGTAATACTCTGAACTGATATAGTGCACACAGACTAATATACACATGCTACTACCACTACACCTCCTCCACCACCACTGCTAGCACAGGTCATCCCTCTCACATATAGGTGGCATAATTATTTGGCATCTGATAATATGTTACACTAGTGTCCACTATTATGGGGGAATTGTGTCTTAGAGCAATTGGAGAATAGAAGCTAGTAGAGAAATGTCACCATTGCCTTTAGTTGGGATTAAGGCCATGTCTCTGAACCAGGAACAAGGTGGGACAAATCATAGTTTACAAGAATTAAACATATATTAAGAGTCAGTTATAACTCTCATTCTCCATAGATGTTTATATTCAGCAACATTAGTTTTTAATATGACATATTTTTATATCATACCATACATTATGTACATTTAGAGGCCACTAATCTTAAATATCACTTTTAATTCAATGTTTCTTGAAGATTAAATGATTTCTATCCCAGCTGAATGTTTTAAGGCCATAAGAAATTCAAGGCAAAAGGATTGTGCATATTTAAACATATTTAAGCTGCAGAGCAGGTATCTAATAATTGTATATTTTACCTAAATATTGTCCCACATTACCACTACCATCAAGCCTGTTCTTACAAGACAATGTATAGATTTCTCATACACTAGATAGGTTCATCACTGGACTCTCTTATTCCATAGATGTCAAATAATTACTTTCATGTTCTGGGAAAATAATCTATAGTCCTCCTCCACATAGGACTATTCTGTCATGTTGGAACCATTTCTTTATCCTATCTGTTATCCTGTGTCTCTGTCAGTTTACATTTTCTCACAAACTCTTAGGCCATCTTTTATGAGTACAGCTTATTTCAGAAGGCATATATTTAGCTTAAGTTCTATCTTTATTAATTTAGTCTTCTTACAAGATAAATTTAGGTAATTCAGTACATATGTCCATTCTGATTTTCCATGATCAGAAGCTCATGGAAGGATCTGCTTTCCTGATGTATGTGTTCATGTGACAAAGGGCGGAGAAGGAAGGAAGGAAGGAAGGAAGGAAGGGGCATGCAGAGCTTTACTCATGAGAACAATGAATATTGTTTACCACCACATGTACAGATCAATGCTAATATTGTTTAGCTAGATTAGTAAGGAAGTTTTCTCCTGAATGCTAATTTATGCTAATGCAAAGAAAATCAAACAAGTTTTATTTGTTGTTGTTAAGAGATTTTTCCCTTCAGCAATTCATTATAATGTGAACTTCATTGCCATCTGTGTATCTGTGGCAATCAGGTGGGAATTCAGAACCTTCTCCAAACCAAATACAGTGAGGGGAGTCATCGACATGCATTAATTATCCACTTGCCAGGAAAAGACTAGTGGGGAAAATTATTCTTTAGGCAAGGCAAAATACAAAATAGGTTGGACTTTAAAATTTAGTAATTTCATAGTTAAATAGTAAAGAAGTGCTAATGCTAGCAAATGGAGACTGACAAACTGGAATATGCTAGGAAGCTACTGATATAGGACAAAAACACATATTTGCAGTTTTAGAAAAGTTGAAGATGCCTTAACTGGATCAACTAGTATCACTGGTTATAGGTGATATAATTCTCCACTCTGTGTCCACGGCTGACATCATTAACTGATCATGGCATAACTATTCTCCTGTCTGCCCTTTTATAGGTTCAGAATTCTCAGGTAGCTATTCATCATTGATTGAGCTTGTCATTCATGATAGTTTGGACTGTCAATCGGAAATCATGTACATTCCTTTTCCATCCTCTACAAGCAGAATGGTTTTCCCTGTCTCACTCATATTGACCAGAGGAATGGGATGGGAAGAGGGACTTCAATATGCCTGTGTGATTTGTTCTATGGCTCTTTTACTCTAATAGCCTCTGTGACAAGAGCATAGTTTCAGCAGAAAAAGCTTCCTCAGTCTAGGTCTCATAGCAAATGTACATGAAGCACACCAAGTCCAAGTCATAGCTTGAAGCAGCACTCAGAAGATGAGATCAAGAATGAACCGTTGCTGTTGTAAGCTTTTGAATTGTGAAGGGTCCACCTTAGATGAAATTTATTTATTATTCCTGCCCTAAAAACTGGTTTTTACATGAAGTAATCATTAGGTTAAATGACTAAGCTATATGACTAGGCATATTTTCCAGGACTAAAATGGAGCTATTATTAATCCTAAAGAATATGTTTGAAATTTCTAAGGTTTTTTCTACTAAATTTGTCTATAGAAATTATATAGTTTGACAGAACAAAGAATAGAATTGAGATCCTTTGATGATTACATACTGTACTCCTCCTTCAGTAACAAAATTATGATATGTAATTATAAGAGATGTATTTGAACCACAGAGAATAGAGTTGCCAGGCAGTGTCAAGCAGAAGAGATAGCTAGCATTTCAGACATTTCAGTGAAGTTTTCGTGAAAAACATTCCTTCAGTTATCGTTAGATAGGATTCCAGAGGCTTGGTAGACCACAGTCATCCCATAAGGTTAAAGGGAGATTTTCTCATCTCCTTTGGCTCACTGTTCATCTCAGACCACCAAACTCACACATCAATACAATCTCACTCTGGAAGTCATACCCTAGCACTTTGCTTCTTAGCACATATCCAAGTTCTTAACACTTAAGAGTACTAATATTTTTTTGCCTCAATGAGAGGCAAAATGTGAATCAATGTTAAATATTTGTGTTACTATTTGTCTGACTCTGAGACATATATTACAGTTTACTAACAAGTAATAGGTAAGAAACAGTATAAATCATAGTGCAATCAAATTTCCATGCTGCTAACCTCTCCTTTATTATAATTAATACTGAATGCCTGCTAAGTGACTGGCAGATAGAAATTGAATAGGTGAAGTCCCTGCCCTCAGGAAGCTGATGGTCCTTCAATGAAAACATTCAAACATCTACGCAAAGGTAATATCATGCAAAGAACAAGGAGGTACATTCTCCTTGTGAGTCCTTGAGAAGGAGTACACATTTTAGAGAGAAAGTCCTCCAAGCAACCATCCCCTAAAAATCCTTGAACTGTGTGAACTGTAAGATAAATGCACTTAGAGGCACACCATTCTCCACAGAGCCCTGCATCCAAAACTCAACAGCCACTGAATGACACATGCACATGTACAGTATACTAAGATGCCTCTAAAATTTGGAAGCTGGCCCTAGAACTTCTATTGTTCCCTAGAGGCTTCCTAAACTACTATCCTCTTTAAGCAGAGAGCCAACACTTCACAACATGATTATATATTACATATCAGGCTTCTTTAAAATAGGTACACAATTAAACATACCAAGCAAATAATCGGTATATGAAGACACAAGATCCACAGTAGCAAATTCTGGAATGTTTGGTAATATCACTTGATAAATTTCATCTGATTTAGAATTCTTCTTTCCAATAAGTAGGTTAATTTCCAGCACTGATTCACTGACCTAGAATGATTGTGTCAATTAGAATTTCTGATTCATATAGGATCTTTTAAGTAAATGCTAGGATTTGCATTTGTCCCCAAAGTTCATGTGTTGGAAATTTAATCCCCAGTGTGTCAAGGCTGGGAGACAGATTGCTAAAGAGGTCATCAGGCCATAAAATCTCTGCTTTCATGAATGGACAAGGCAGGAAGCATGGTAGAGGACATAGCAGCCCTGTTTGTCTTCCCTGGCTTGCTCTTCCACTGTAAGAAGATCCTTACAAGATGCTGCTCCCCCAACCGTGGACTTCCCAGGTCTAGAACTATGAGTCAGTACATTTCAGTTCATTATAAATTAACCACACTATGCTGTTCTTTTAGAACAGCACAAAATAAACTGAGATGTATAGATAGATAGATAGATAGATAGATAGATAGATAGATAGATAGATAGATAGATAGATAGATAGATAGGAAAAAGTATATTTATAAAGTAATATTCAGGATGTAGTAGAAAAAAATCATGACAGAATGAAAGAATACTATGTGTTTGTGGTATGCAGAATATATCAAACATATAGTCAAACAAATCAGTTTGTTTTTGACAATTTAATTAATGGATCTATTACTTAAAATAAGCTATCTCACCTGGATGTGACAAATATTTGCCTAGCTATTAAATATACACATATGTATCTAGCAATATTTTCATTAAATAAAAATTGAAATAGAGTCAGTTCTGGTTAATGGAGATTTAAAAGATTATTTAGAGTATTTCCAATATTTCCAAACAGAAATAATTGGCAAAAATCCCAAAGAAGGTAAAATTCACTTCTCTCATTTAGGTTCATTGTGCTGCCTTAACAGCTCAGAGGTAGAAACTACAGACCTAACAGTAGAAAGAAACATTTAAAAAATCAGACCAACCTGTGCAGCAGCTCTGATGGCAATCCAGGCCAGGGATGTGCACATTTCAGATTTATTGGAGGGTTCTCTATTAGAGCTATGCCTTCTGGAAAGAGTCTAAAATATCTCAAAATGTTATTTGATAAAGAAAATTCATTGATAACTCTTCTCACCTTCTAAAGATACATTTTAGTGGAATACTATGTAGCCATTAACTTCAATACAAACAGATACTTAAAGTACATTAAAGAATAAAAAGTGTACCCTAGGAGGCTATATGCACAGTATAATAATCATACATATGCACAGGGATGGTAGGGGAAAAACAAGGGAGGAGGCAACAATCCCTGGTAAGAAATGTATTCATTACCTTGCTCATGTGATTGTAACCCCTCTGTACAGTATTTTCACAATAAAAAATTTAAAAAAATATGCACATACAGATTTCTTATACACGCAAGCAGATGAAGTTTTTCACAGTGATTATCCAAAGTGTTAAAAGTAATTAATTTTTAATAATTTTTCTCAATTTTCTATAATAAAAACTGCATGATTTTGTAATGAATTAATAAAAATGTCATTTTAAGTAAAGTGAAATGTAATTTTCAAAAAGGTCCCATAAATTGACTACACGATGGGTGAAGATGGCAAAAATAAGGAGGGAAAGCAGGAGAAAAATGAGGGAGGTGGTAACAAGTTCAACAAGAAATGTAGTAACTACCTTACATTCATAGCTGTACATCACCTAGACAATAAAATTAAATTTTAAAAAAGGAATATCACTCAAAAGTTTGATGTTGTTGTTTTGAGATAGGGTCTCAAGTCCAGGCTGGTCTCCTGCCTCAGCCACCTGAATTACTCAAAAGCTTTTAATAGGTATTTGATATTTTTTTCACACTAGGAAAATGTTAAAGTAGTAATATAGTTATAAATTTCCATACAGTAACAAAAAGAAACAATGAATGTGTACATTATTTTATGTATTCACACACACAGTTTCTAAACAAGAAATTCAATGTTACAGAAAGAAACTCTACCTATTAACACAATATCCATTTTACATTTTAAAAGATAACTAAATTAATTAATATAAATTATCATTTTATTTGTGCGTGTGTCTGTGTGTGCTAGTACTAGGCTTGAATTCAGGGCATCCTTATACTTTCTTAGCTTTTTATGCTCATCCTTGTGCTCTGCCACTTGAACCATACCTGCACTTTTGGCTTTTTGCTGGTAAACTGGCTATAAAATCTCAGGTAATTCTCTGCTCAGACTAGCTGTGAACTGAGATCCTTAATTCTCAAGCCTCCTGAACAGCTAAGATTATAGGTATAAAAGCCACCAATGCCCAACCTAGAAGTCATTTCTAAAGATTCAAAAAGTCTGAATAGAGATAACAATTAAATGAGACCCATTGGTTCTAAATTTTTGAAGCTCATATTTTGACCAGTTCTTTCATCTTCCAGAAAAATAAAAAATAAATCAAACCTTAACAAAAAAGTATGTCACTAGTTTTATTTTTGTCTGGAAGACTACCAGGGAGTCTTTTTGCCATGAAGGAGGTGTGAAGGCAGCATATACAATGCACTCATGTGGTACATCTAATCAAGTGTGAGGCTAGGAGGGAAAACATTTCTGAATAGAGCTGCCTGGGGAAACCTAGGCAATACAGCCCTGTTCCAAGATAGGAAAACCCAAAACATTAGCTGTGGGAGTACTACTTATGCCCTGGGGTAGTAATTGCCAGTTTGCTGGCTATATAAGTTTCAGTAATTTACCTACGGTAATTCAGGAAACAGGATTAACAGGCATGAAATACAGAATTCAGAATAACTTTAAATAATTGGAATATAAGGACAGTTAGTGGCCCAGATGTTCAAGTTTTTAAAGGAAGTTCTTTTTAATTAAGAGAAAAACTTTATTGAAGAGGTTGGGCTGTTGGGCTTGAGCTGAGAGTGGAAAAATCTGGACTAGTGAAAGAACACAATGGGCCTTTTTGTAGACAGTGGAGGTGTCAGCATTGCATAGTCCATGCAAATAGGAAAAACAAAATTCAATGATTTTTTTTTTTTTTGTCGGTCGTGGGGCTTGAACTCTGCTGTCCCTCAGCTCTTCAGCTCAAGGTGAGCGCTCTACCACTTGAGCTACAGTGTCACTTCTGGTTTTCTGGTGGTTTATTGGAGATAGGAGTCTCACAGTCTCTCCTATCTGGGCTGGCTTTGAACCGCAATCCTCAGATCTCAGCCTCCTGAGTAGCTAGGATTACAGGCGTGAGCCACCAGCGCCCGGCCAAAATTCAATGATTTTTAAAAGGTAAATAATCCATTGTTTAAAAAGTCAAAGTATCTGAAATGACACTCCCCCAAAGAAGAAATACATATAGCCAGTACATACATACAAATATCTCAACATCACTAGATAACAAGATACTGGCCTTGCATATTAATAACTCTTCCTCCTGTGTCCACCAAACTAGCCCAGAATATCATCATGTCAGCTGCCACATTAATTTACAATGCCACCAACCCAACTTATTTCCTAAGTCTAAATCTCACTACCAAAGTCCCTGTACCTTCTATCTTCCTCCCTCCCAACTTTTCTTCTTGGAAGGCAAGGCAAGCTCGGGGAAAGCATGAATTGTTCTTGTCTATGACTCCTCAGTCAGGATCATAGCAGGAGCTCAACAAATAGATACATGGCGGATGAATGATTCTTTCAAGAAGTAAGTCCGTATTGAAAATTGTACTAGTCCATGTGTTTAATCAATATATCAGATTCCAGGTTCTTGATCATTCCTCATTGCCTTAGAGTATTTACACAAACCTATATTTCAGGTTTTTTTTAAAAATACCCAAGTATTTTTACCCAAGTAAAATCACTACCAGAACTATAAAAAGGTCTACAAAGATGCATATAGAATAATTAATTTCTCAGTCACATAGGAAAATACTTCATTAGTTCAACATCACAATAGTATTAAAGTAACAAGATCAAAAGCAATGAAGGTATAATTTCTAATAAATTCAGCTATTACCTTAAGCGATGATGATGTGGCTGAGTTCTTTTTCGTTGGCTTCTTCTGATGAAAATAGTACAGGGCCATTTCTAGGTAGGAATTTCTTATCAACCTACAATGGCATGGGATTGTACTTACTGAACAGACTCAGCACCCAGGAATTCTTTGCCTCATTTGCAACAATGTCTGAGCTAATAAAGGGTAAGTATAGGCAAAACTAGCATTAATTCCCAACCTATGTTGTAGGTTGTAATTAATTCCCATCCTAGCTTTTGGCTACATACTAGAGAATCTTCTTCCCTAAAACTGGAAGATTTTGAAGATGGCTGAGTATTCTACTATGTCTTGTGCTGGCAACACTATGCTAGACTGCTTTGAAGCCCAGCATGAAGACCTTTCTGAATTATTCCAACAAACAGGTACTAAAGAACAGGTTAAGACTAAAGCAACTATTCTTGGAAATTAGGCAGGCTTTCTCTCTCTCTCTCTCTCTCTCTCTCTCTCTCTCTCTCTCTCTCTGTCCTTTCTCTCCATCCCTTCCTCTATTAATTAAAAAGAGACAGAGTATGTAGTGATCAATGATAAGGCATAGATTAGACCTATGTTTCAAAACTGCCAACTGGGGCCACTTGGATCAGTGATATTCCAATAATAGTGGCTTATACTCAATATCGGGGTGATTTTTATGTAGAATTAGGCTTTCTAGTCCTTGTATTGGTTTCCAGGGTGCTGTGACACAAATGCTTTCCACAGACAATTCCACATCCAAGAGGGGAACTTTGGGTTCTAAATCAGTAATCCAGGCAAGGAGGCCCTGAAAACCCCTAGATTGACAGACCTTTTACAGGCCAGAAATGATTCATAGTCCAGTATGTCACTATGATAACAGGTATCATCCACCATTATTGTAAAGGCCTTGGGTCAAAGTCAAGAGCAAGAAGTTTGAAAAGCAAATCAGCAAACCTGATAGACAGATAGATCCCACTACAGGAGCTCTGCCCTGTGAGGCCACTCATCCATTCCCACTTCGAATATTCCATGTCTTATGAGAACACAGAGGCCACATCAACAACACTGCTACAACACCAAAAAGATATATTTTTTTACCCTGAATTTTGGTCATTTTTCAAGCTTAGTTGTATAGCTTCAAAAAAACTATCTAGTTGTATATTTGGAGATTTGTCTTCCATCAGTATTTGACGCTCTACTTTGCCTGAAAGAAGAAAAATGCATACAAAGATGATTTTTCCTTTTCTTATCACTTAGCACTTAAGAACAAATATCTCATGGTCAACATGGCCATAATAAAATTGTATAAATGTATTACATTAATAGGCATTATAAATAACCAACTATGGTTATGATATTTAATTTCAATGAATACATTTATTGATAAAAAATTAACCAAACATTAACCAAAACTTTTCTGCCATGAGTAATAACATAAAGAAAAAAAATAACTTCCATTAATTCAGTACCATTATTTATAGTCAAGTGGCTGATACAGACATTGTTTTAGTTAAACATGGAACTTTATACAAGTGTCAATTGTAATTATAAAAGAAACTATCAGTGCCTTTTCTTTCTAGATAGAAATTTAAAAGAAGCAGAGTTCTTTAATCTAAAATCTAGTTTAACAGTGGCACCAATGTGTCTTGTTTAAAAAAAAATGTGTCTTGTTACCAAGCCCTTTGTAAAGTTTGTATTTCGTTTATAGTTGAGAAGCTGATTGTTAACAGGAAAAGCCTTACAAGCTGTTTCATAGCTCTGCCCCCAGCCCCAAACATGTTACCTTTCTGAAAAAGGATTTCAGCTTCCACCTCACATTCTTCTATGGCGGATACTTTACAGAGCTTCAGTGCTATCTCAAAAAGATGAAGAGCAGGCAACCACTTTGAGAAGTCCTTCTTTCTGTTGGTATAATATACTTGCTTGGCCAGTGCATGTCCTAAAAGAAAAACAGTGGGATAGGGACAAAGCAATGAAATAGGACATGCTCATCGTAAACGTTCAAGTTCCCAGACATTGTTCATGCTCATGGTAACTATCAAGAACTTGGTGGTCTTCACTGCTTTTTATACCTAAGAATTATATTAATGATTTATCTTTGATAAATTACTGCCATGTTCTCTTGTTTTTTAAAAATAAGAATAGGGACCAGGAGTGTTAGCCCCTGCCTGAAATCCTAGCTTCAGAGAAGTACACGTACAAGTATCACTGTCTCAAACTTGTCCCAGGAAAAAAAGCACAAGATTCTTTCTGAGATCTAACTAAAATGAAAGGAGTGTGGTTAAGTGGTAGAGCACTTGTCTAGCAAATGCAAAATAAGTCCAAATTCAAGATAAAGTAAAATAAAATAAAGGCTAGCGACAGGAACAAGGGAAGACAATGGACTGAATATGATAAAGGTATATTACATACATGTAAAAGATCTTATAATGAGGCCCATTATTTTGTACAATTAATATATACTGATACAATAGGAAAAAGTTTAAGAAGGAAAAATATTCTCCAACATCTCTTCCAGTTTTAAACTCTTATGATAAACTACAAAACAACCTCCATGTTCTTAAGATGAGGTTATTAGTAGAGAAACAGCTGGAGGTTTTATGTTACTTGCAATAAAATTTGCATATATTAATAGGCAGTAATTTTCTTTCTATTAAATGCTATAGTGGTTGCTTGCTATGCTTTTTTAAAATTATCCATAATCTGCCTTTTAACCTAATACAGAAGCTCAAGACAAGGTAATTAATGGGAAAATAATCTTAAATAATGATGATTCTTATTTTTGTATTATAAAAATAAACTTAAAGTGCTATTTTCTATCAGAGGTTTTCACAAAGAAAAAATTTTAAGTTGTTCTATTTTTATGACTCTATACTACACAGAAAAACTGTCAAGAAAGCAAGTCACAGATGACATGTGCTTCATAATATTGAAGTGCTCCTTTTTCCAGTAAACATCAGCTCTATGAAGAAGTTGTGAAACTGACTTTGTTTTGACAGAAAGGCTGCTTTGGGTTTGTTTTAGTCTGTATTTAATATAATATCCCAGAAAGCAAGCTGTTCGGCTTCAAATGAGTCTAAAAAGTAGCAACAGTATTGTCATTGAGTAGTGACACATCTTCAAGATTAGCAAGTCAGAAAAGCAGGGAATACACTTGATGTTACACAATCTGTGCTTTAAGCTCATGTAGAAATCAAAAGTCCTGATGACAAAACAAATTGTAGACTTAAAAAATGCAAAAGAACAGCTTTCACAAGGTTGGTGACGATTATACAACAATGGCCAATTTTAATTATGAAAGCAAGGAGCAGAAAGAAGATAAGAGAAAGATTCTGGAAGAGATGGTAGTTTGAGTGCACTCTTTCTGTCTTCCCTTCCACAACCCAATCCCACCCCCACTCTCCTGAGAAACAGTATAAATATTTGGGTCAAAGATGAGAAAATCTCCTGGAGAGAGCTTGCAAAGATATCTATGAGCTCCAGAGAAGGGCAGTTCTGGCTGTCTGCCTCCTCGGGAGGCCTGACAATAGCATATGTCCTGAGCTAAAGGATGCTGACATTTATTGTTCCTCCTGGTGCCTGAAGAGGAAATTAGACTCTTGAAGGTTGGTACAGAGCCAGTCACTGAGTTGGAACTGTGACTGATCAGCATTGCCACTGCTGAAGTTAATCCAATAGCTGGACTTTAACCATAGTAAGCAAAGTAACACAGTCAAGTAAAGATCTGCAGCCAACAAGAGGAAGAACAAATACAACTTCCAGAGAGGCTGCTTCACATTGGTGAGATAAAATGATGGAATTTTGACTGACAAAGAAAGAAAAAGAAAAAAGCCTACGTAGAAATACAATTTTTTTTTTTTTTTTTGGTCATGGAGCCTGAACTCTGGGCCTGGGCGCTGTCCTTCAGCTATTCAGCTCAAGTCAAGCGCTCTACCACTTGAGCCACAGTGCTACTTCCGGTTTTCTGCTGTCCTTCAGCTATTCAGCTCAAGTTGAGCACTCTACCACTTGAACCACAGCGCCACTTCTGGTTTTCCTGGTGGTTTATTGGAGATAAGAGTCTCACAGATTTCCGGAAATTATGTAATCACTTAATCACAATCAAAAAAAAGAACCTCGGGGAAGGGAGGGAGGGAGGGGATGGTAGGGGGAAAACAATGGAGGGGGTAACAATGTTCAAGAGGAAATGTACTCATTACCTCACTCATGTAACTGTAACCTTCTGTATAGTATCTTTACAATAAAAAAAAAAAAGAGTCTCACAGAGTTTCTTGCCCAGGCTGGCCCTGAACCATCATCCTCAGATCTCAGCCTCCTGAATAGCTAGGATTACAGGTGTGAGGCACCAGCGCCTAGCTTATTTTTGTTTTTTAAGAGCCTGTTTGCTCCTTCCACCAGTAAGGACCAATAGAAGGCACCATGTATGAAGCAGTCATCTTTACCAGTCACTAAATCTTGGACCAAGGGCTTCCAGTCTCCAAAGAAAGGAGAACTATAGAAATGAAATACATTGGGCTGGGAAGGTGGCTCAGTGGTAGAGTGCTTGCCTTGCATGCCTGAGGCCCTGGGTTTGATTCCTCAGCACCACATAAGCA